GTTTAGGATTTACGGTTCAGGGTTCAGGGTTTAGGGTTCAGGGTTTAGGGTTTAGGGTTCAGGGTTCAGGGTTCAGGGTTTAGGGTTTAGGGTTCAGGGTTCAGGATTTAGGGTCCGGGTGTTCGGGTTTAGGGTTCAGGGTTTAGGGTTTAGGGTTCAGGGTTTAGGGTTTAGGGTCCGGGTTTTAGGGTTTAGTTTAGGGTTTAGGGCCCGGGGCCCGGGGTATAGGATAGAGTGCTATGTACATTTATGGCCACTACCACTGACCATGAGAGGAACAAGCCTTGCTTAGCTCAGCCTCTAGACCCCTTGCCGTGCTATAACACCCCAAACCCTAAACCCTAAGCCCCAAACCTTGAAACCTAAACCCCAAACCCTGAAGCCAAGGCCCCAAACCGCACCCGTCGAGCCCATTTCCCTAAAGCACTTCATGTCTCTGAGGTGCATCTGATTCGGACCCCCAGTCCGGCAGTAAGCTAAGTACGGGGCTCCTTTCGGAAGTCAGTAGAGGTTTGTAGGGCATATAAGGCTAGTTGAGAAGACTGCCCATAGCTTCTTCGTGAGGTCTGATCCCCTAAACCCTAATCAGGTGAACCTTGGGTTTGGGCACTCCTTTCTTGTAAGGCTTTTGTTCTCATGCATTCTCTCGCCTTGACCACAGCTGTCGCAACCCTTGCAGGGTTCATCCATTTCCAGACGCTGGATATGGCTAGTCACGGCTGGTTCGCCATTGGGGTGAAGTCAGTTTACGGCTTCGCGGTGCCTAGTGCCTAGAGTTTGGTGTTTTCACAGATGAGGTTTGGAGCACATCGAAGAAGTCGATTGCACACACACACACACACACACACACACCAAACCCTAAGCCCTAAACCCAAAACTCTATACCCCAAACCCCTACACCCTAAACCCTTCTTCTACCATACAAACCTTATTTGGCATCCTGGGTTTCTCTCGCACCTCGGATATCGGCATCAGAAGCCCTGGGTCGAACCCCAAACGCCAAACCCTGTACCGTAAGACCCTGAACCCTAAATCCTAAACCCTACACCCTGAAGCCCTAAACCCCTAAACCCGGCAACCCTAAACCATGAAGCTCACGAATGCCAGGGACTGTGGGAAGAGCCCTTCGGCGGACACACGGACCAGAAACCCCGAGGCGCGCGCCGCTTGAGGTGTCTGGGAGGTTGGGTTCAGGATTTAGGATTTAGGAGTTAGGAGTTAGGGTTTAGAGTTTAGGGTTTAGGGTTTAGGGTTTAAGGTTGGGTTTAGGATTTAGGATTTGGGATTCTGGGTTTATAAGGTTCGGGTTGGGTTCAGAATTTAGGATTTTTTGCGTTTAGGGTTTCGAATTTGGGGGGTTTAGGGTTCAGGGTTCAGGCTGTAACCCCTAAGCCCTAAACCCTGAACCTTAAAGAAAGCTCGTAAGAGTCTGGGACTCCAGACTCAAGACGTGGGCCGCTAAAGCCGCATGCAGAAGGTCACAAACACATAGAATAGGGGCCATAATAATTAGAATAGGGTTGTGGGGGTATATTATACCATAACAAAGGGGCCTTAACAATTACCCATACTATTTTGGGGGGCTCTCATTCTAGTTATAGTCTAATATACCCCAAAGCTTTATTCTAAGTATCAAAAGTCTTTCGATTCAATTTTGGTCGCCTCGGGTTTTCTGATATGCAGATAACACACCCGTCATCGACATGCTCAGGGCTGCAACCCTAAACCCTAACCCCTGAACCCTCAGCTCTATACCCTGGACACAGATAAGATGTAGCCTACATCGGCAGGTTGTGGTGCAACGACCCCTGTGTTTCAGGCCTCCTAAACCTATGGCACCCGTATAGTAGCCCTTGGTGCCTGAGTAACTATCCCTATAAATCCCTTATAGTGACCCTTGTAGACTATTTTAGAACCCCGGTAGTGTATAAGCCTCTTAATCAGAGCCCTTATAGCAACCGCTAGAAGCCTTGTAGTAACCCTCTTTAAACAAGTGGCCCCAGCCTTAAATCCAAAGTCGGTCAGGCCCTGCATCCTTGGGCATGGATGTCAGCTTCCTCGTGTGCCTGCGAGATTGAGGGTTTCGGCTTTAGGATTTTAGCGCTTATAGGGTTTAGGGTTTTAGGGCGTGTGGAGTAAGGGTTTAGGATTTATGGGTTTCGGGTTTTTGGCTGATGGTTCGGCCTTAACTCGCTTGACTACGTCGCAGTCTCAAAGTCTTTGAATGCCACCTTGTTCTACTTATTCTAGTTGCCGCTAATCACCACCCCCAAATCCCAAGCTAGAAAGCCCTTGTGCCATAACGCAGCCACTTAAACTCTAAACCCCAAGCCCGAAACCCTAAACCCTAAGCCCTAAACCCTAAACCGCATGTTTAGTTGCAAAGCCTCTCTTCTGAGACGCCAGGGTGACGTCCCCAGCCTTTTCGGCCTGCCGGAGCATGCCACCAAGGCCTGTCTGGTGTCTAGTAGGGAATGGGGGAATGGGTTATTGGGTTGATAAGGATTAGGGTTTAGGGACTACGCTAAGGGACCTTAAGGGACTATCATAGGGATCCCTACTATAAGGGACCTTAAGGGACTATCATGGGGACTACTCTAAGGGACCTTAAGGGACTTTCATCGGGATCCATTCCCCCATTCCCTACTAAGCACCAGACAGACCAAGGCATGTCGGGCGGAAAGGCATTTGCAGACCCAGAGCATTGAGCCTCCATGGGGCTTAGGGTTATGAGGCTTTGGGTTTAGGGTTTAGGGTGTAGGGCTTGGGGTTGAGGGCTTAGGGTGTAGGGCTTAGGGTTATAGGGCTTTGGGTTTAGGGTTTAGGGTGTAGGGCTAAGGGTTTAGGGCTTGGGGTTTAGGGCCTAGGGTTTAGGGCTTCGGGTTACAGGGCTTCGGGTTTAGGGGTTAGGGTTTGGGGTGTAGGGCTAAGGGTTTAGGGCTTGGGGTTTAGGGTTTAGGGCTTAGAGTTTAGGGCTTAGGGTTTAGTAGGGTTTAGGGCCTGGGGCTTTGGGTTAGGGCTTACGGTTCAGGACTTAGGGTGTAGGGTGCATGTATGGGTTTAACATGAGTTGGGGTGTAAGGTTTCACTGCTGGGAGGTGCCGAAAGTGCACTGCCAGGCATCGGCTGAGAAGAATTCCACGAATACAGGGTCGACATCCGCTTACCACGTACCGCTTATATCCCTGTCCCTATACAATTCCCAAGGAGCATTAGTATACCCCAATCGCATTAAACTTATGATGGCCCTTCTAGTCTAGTCTATTCCTTTCTACCTATAGTCTCCATTGTGGTTCTTTTTGGGGGATACCTTATAAAATCCTTAATGATAACTGGTTAAACAAAAAACTAACTACAATGGACACTATAGGTATTCCGTTCAATTATGCCGGCAAGCTTGGGCAGTCCTCCTCGGTGCGGAGGCTTTTCAGAGTCGACCTCAAGACGAGGTCCCATCCGCAGATGCCCCCAGAGAACCCAATACACCTTAATTCAGGAATATACCTTAAATTATAGGGGCCTTCATATTATGGTTCAAAGTATATTCCTTAGTTGAGGAATATACCTTAAGTTATAAGGGCCTTCATCTTATGATTCAAGGTATATTCCTTAATTGAGGAATATACCTTAAGTTATAGGGGCCTTCATCTTATGATTTAAGGTAAACCCTGAACCCTAAACCCTAAACCCTAAACCCTATATTCCTTAATTCAGGGGTTCTCTGGATCAAGGCCCTCGCTGCCGCGGTCTTTCGAGGAAAGCCCGGGCGCTAACGTCTTTGACCCGTCGAGGGATGCCGCAGTTTTTGAGAAAAGCACTAGGGTTTAGGGTTTAGGGATTAGCGCAGTTTTTGAGAAAAGCACGGGTGGCGGAGATCAACGAGGGCACCATGCGAGAGTTGAACATCGCCTGCTAGAACCCGGCTCCGCATCCTGGGGCTCTCTGGAGCCGTGGTTCAGCTGCGCATGCTGTATAACAAAACCGCGGGCTGGAGCTAGGGCAGCCGAGATACGATGCTGACGATCCCAGTTGCACTCCATTTGCTAAGTTCCTTTGCCCCGGAAGCAATTCAGAGCTTGCAGACATGAGAAAGGATAGCATCCACCTCCCAAAAAGCCCCGGCCTCAAACCCTGGCACATCCCGAACCTAGAGGATTTGTGGCTTAAGAATTTGGGTTTGGGTCGAACCCACAGGATGAGAAATTTATGATTATGCTATAGGGTCAGGACTTTGTATTCGGCGGCAGCGGTTTAGGGTTTAGGGTTTAGGGTTTAGAGTCCATGACCCACTTGGGTTTCCCTCGCTGTGCAGGCAAGTCTTCCCTTCTACGAGGAGCCGTACCGGTTCTTCAACTTGGATGTCTTCGAGTGCTCTTGTTTACGGATTCAACGTTCGGGGTTTTGAGTCAGGGTGTTTAGGGTTGGGGGGGTGATAAGGGGCCAAGGGTTTGGGTTTAGGGCCCAGGGTCTTAGCGAAAGGGTTCGGGAAATCAGGGCAGGTGGTGCTCGGTTTACTTGCTGCTCAGATCTGTAGGCCATCTAAGCGCACCAAAAGCTGCTGAGGGCCGACAGTTCCAAAACTCCGCCAGCCTCGAATCCGGAAGCCGTCGACTCGAAAGCTTTCCATTAGGGACCCAAAAAAAGCACACAAGCATACGCTTTTTATAGGGATATCCGGATCCTAATTTTTGCTTATGTGCTTTTTTGGGGCCCTATTCCACCTCATCACCTGAAGCTCCTGGAACCCCCGCCCTGCAGCTCTAAGCATCCAAAACCCTGCAGGCCCTTAGCCCTAAACCACAAAACCCTAAGCCCTAAACCCTAAGCCTTAAACCCCTCAAAACCCTCAACCCCAAGCCCTAAGCCACAAAACCCTCAAGCCCTACAAACCCTTCAGGTACGAAATCGACGAGCCCATGGCCCTTTATGGCGCCATCCCCCTGATCTGGGCCATCCACCGATTGGAAGGTCTGGCTCCCTGGGACAGGGTTGCTAGGTTCCTGGTTTTGGGCTTAGGGTATAGGGCTATTGGGGTTATTAGGGTTAGTAGGGTTGTTAGGGTTATTGGGGGTATTAGGGTTATTAGGGCTTAGGGTTTAGGGGTATTAGGGTTATTAGGGTTATTATGGTTTAGGGCTTAGGGTTATTAGGGTTATTAGGGTTTAGGGTTTAGGGTTTAGGGTTTAGGGTTATTAGGGTTTAGGCGGTTCAGGGTTTAGGGTTATTAGGGTTTAGGGTTTGGGGCTTAGGGTTTGGAGTTGTTAGGGTTATGAGGGTTATTAGGGTTTAGGGTTATTAGGTTTAGGTTCTATGGTTTAGGGTTATTAGTTATTAGGGTCTAGGGTTTAGGGCTATTAGGGTCTAGGGTTTAGGGTTTATGGTTAGGGTTTAGTGGAAGCCAGAAAGTTGGAACATCCATATCCTCATGCCCTTAAGGTAAAGTATAGGGGGTTCTAGCACCAATCCTCCTAAGCCCATGGTCCAACTTTCTGGTGTTCACTGCAGGGCCTTGTTAAGGAACTTAGTTTTGCGCTACGTACCATAATAGGGAAACTTGATCGAAGAAGCACTTACTACAGAGAGCGCACCCGACGAAGCCTCAACCCCCTAAACCCAGCCAGGGCTGACCTCAAGCTCTAAAGCCCTAGACTCCTACAACTTCAACCTTCAAAAAGAAACCCTAAAACCCTAAACCCTAAACCCTCAAAAGAAACCCTAAAACCCTAAACCCTGAACCCCTAAACCCTAAACCCTAAACCCCTCAAAAAGAAACCCTGAAACCCTAAACCCTAAACCCCTAAACCCTAAACCCTCAAAAAGAAGCCCGAGAGCCCTAAGCCTTGAATAACAACTCCTCCATCCTCAATCAAGGTCTCCCAGCCATGGCTTCCGGCTTCCTGTGGATCAACCCGTCAGCCTGAGTCTTAGGCTTTAGGGTTTCAGCGGTTTAATTTAGGGTTTAGGGTTTCAGGTTTAGTATTTCGGGTTTGGGATTTGGGGTTTTGGGTTCAGGGTAAACCCTAACCCCTAAGCCTAAACAAGGTTAATGGTTTAATGTAGAGGCCTCAGTACTTACCTGTACTATTTTAGGGGGATCCCTATTATAATTATAGTATAATATACCCCCCAAAAACCCTGTTCTGATCCTTAAACCCTAAACCCTAAACCCTAAACCCTAAGCCCTAAACCCTAAACCCTAAACCCTAAACCCTAAACCCTACATGAAGCTTCATCTCTCAGGGGTCCACATGGTGCCTGCCGTTTTGGGCCTTCAGGGTTTCTGCTTCGGCAAGCCCCAAACCCCGAAAGCGTAAACGTCAAACGCCATACCATACTATAGGGGCCTTATAGTAATTAACTATACTAGTTTTGGGGGGTTCCCTATAATAATTATAGTAAAATATTTCCTATTATAATTATAGTAAAACATTTCCTAAAACATTTTTCCAATTATGAAGGCCCGATACCATACACCCCAAACTTCGGGGTCTGAAGATGGGTTTGGGAGTTTTTGGGACATGTTGATTTCGGATTGGGCTCTTCAGATTTAGGGTTTAAGGTTCAGGGTTTAGGGTTTAGGTTTTGTTTAGGGTTCTAGGGTTTAGCGTTTAGGGTTTTTGGGTTTAGGGTTTAGGGTTTAGGGTTTTGTTTAGGGTTCTAGGGTTTAGGGTTTTGGCTGGAGCCTTGGGGTTGGGAGTTCGGGCTTCGGGCCACGAAGTCTGCACTCACCGCACCCAGTGTGAAGAGCCATCATGGAGCAGCCCGAGGTCTGAAACTGCGAAGAGCTGAAGCCTCAAAGTCAATGCCAAGCCCGCAATATTCAATCCTGAGAAATCATGATAATTCCTTAAATTATACTATAACACACTTTAATATACTATATAATACTATGATATGCTATAATGACCCCCATATCTAGGCTTTAATAAAGCCTTCGAGTCCCCATGTTAGTATTGTAGCATACCTCAAAGGCTTCTTGTAAGTAATCACTCACCGGAAGTGGATTGGGAGACCAAGAGCTATGTGGGAAGTTCTCTAAACTAGGGCCGCCTTTCAGGTCCCCGACATAGTGCAGCACCCTTATAGAAATTCAGAAAGGATCCCAAAAGAAAACCCTAATTGAGAGAATTACCCACGTGCTGGCGCAGTCTTCAGTCGATTTGCATTGCATCCAGCGACCGTAGAAGCGTCTCAAGTAAAGAAGGGGCCTTAACAATTATACCTAGACTATTTTTTTTGGGGGGGGGGGAGGGCTCCTTATTATAATCCTCAAGAGTAATTCTGGTAATTATTTAAGGTAGGGGCCTTATTAAGTAGAATGGGGTGCGGTCCACTATACTATAAATATAACAAGGACCCCCCCAAAAAAAAACAAAAAAACAAACAACACAAGCAGTACAGTATTCGTACTTAGTCAGGCCCCTCAGTCTAGCTGTCGGCTTTTAGCCCTGAGAGCTCAACCATACTCGTAAATAAGAAGAAGTAGACCCTATGCAGTAAGGGTATTCGGGGTCTGACAGTAGAACCCTAATACGTAATCCCAAGACCCAAAACGCCAAACCCTAATCCCGAAACCCTAAACCCTAAACCCTAATCCCTAAACGTCCCTAAACCCTGATCCCTAAACCCTATACCCTATACCCTAATTGCTAAACTCTAATCCCTAAACCCTAAACCCTAAACCCTAGTAGCATACGAGCTAGTGTCAGCTCTCTAGAGCTTCTAGCCAGAGGAGACCTTCGTCAAGCTGGAGAGAGACACCAAGGAGGGCCCTGAAAAGGGTTTAGGGTTTAGGGGCCTTACCTAAAGTCTCCATTGTAGTTCTTCTTTTGGTTTAATGAGTTTTTTGGTTTAACGAATTATATATTAAAGGGTTTTATAAGGTCTACCCGAAAAGGACCTACAATGGAGACTATAGGTATCAATTAGAATAGGGTTTTGGGGCCCAGTACCGGTTTTTAGGGTTTAGGGTTCCGAGTTTTTGGTTTTAGGGTGTAGGGTTTAGGGTTCAGAGTTGTTGGGGTTAGGGTTTAGGGCAGATCCGTTTTGGGGGCTTATGAGGAGAGGAGAAGGCATTGAGTGTTGAAGTGAGAGGTTTGCTAGGTACCGCTTTGGGATATTTGCTGCTTTCCCTAGGTTCGAGGAACCGCCGAACTTAGCTTGCCTGAGGGTCCATGTGCCGACATAGCATGCGCTGGAAACCGTGTTGAATACCTACCTTAACCTACCAAAACCTACTTTTTTGTAGGGTCTCTATAAATTCCATATCAGGGTTTATAATAAGAACCTACAAAAAAGTGGTAGTTTAAGGTAGGTATGTGCTCTTTAGGTCCTATAGTTACTGAGGGTGTTCCTTAGGATTCCTGTTCTAGTTATACAGGAAAAAACCTCTTGGGGTTCTGGGGTTCCTTATACTAATCATAGTATAATATACCCCAAACCCTATTCTAATTATTAAGGTCCCTATATTGACCACTTAGGGCGCAGGCTTTAGCTGAGGGTTTACAGCTTCAGGGTTTAGGGTTTCGCCCTTTCGCCAAAGGACCCGAGCACTTGGCCACAGCTCTCGTAACTCCTTCATGCCTTACCTTCTTGGGACCCCTACAAACATCCGGCAAGAAACAGAAACTGTAACCCTACCTATAGTCTCCATTGTAGTTCCTTTTCGGGTATACCTTATAAAATCCTTAATATATAATAGGTTAAACCAAAAAACAGGAACTACAATAAGCCCGAAACCCCAGCCCGTGAAGAGGAGACCAAGGGCGGAGCTGCCCGGGCCTCGGGGTTGAAGGCCTCGGCTCCAACCGTTTGTATGGCGGCCCCGCTCACAAACCGTCCCTTTTGGGGCTTTCCGCAGTATAAGTTAAATATAGTATAGTACAGTTCAAACAAACCCATACTATGATTGCTATGATCCCTATATTAGAGTCTACGCGGCGGTCTTGATGTTCACAGTCTTGTGCTTTTCGTGCGTCTAGGATGCTAGGTTTACGATGGTGTGCGGCTTTTGTGGGACTTGGGTCTTGGTGTTGAGGTTTGACGTCTGCCGTTTCGGGCTTCAAGTTCATTTTCTTGGGGTGCGTGGGTGCTCGAGACCTCGACAATAAGCCAAGCCCCACAACCCTGCATCGTGTGCGGGGCGGTAAAGCCGTCGCCGAAATATTGACACTGTAGCTTGATCTCGAAACCCGATATTCTACATCTCAAACGCATGAGCAGGAAGCTACCTGCACAAATTGGATATGTAAATCCTTACCGAAGCTTCCTGCCTACGAAACCAACCTGAACCCGAAACTCTGAAGCCGTAACCCGACTCTGAGAGCTTCGCCTTAGGCCCACGCTTGGTGGACCTCCGAAAGCGGCGTGCTAGACGTCGTGGTTCTTGTAGGGCCCACGCCGAAACGCGTCTCCGGGTGGGGTGCCCCGGAGATTTAGGCTTTCACGCATTGTGGATTCTTTACGTAAGGAGCTTATTTTTGTCATGATATCATACTATACTCACTGTACGATGCATCCCCGAAAGAAAACACTAGTCATGGTAAGTTGAATTGAAGCTACTCGGGATCGCCCAGAGTCCGGTTTTTGTTGGGATGGGTGCTTTGGGCTTCTTCTTCGCTAGTATCCTTTGTAGGGCTCTGGCAATAAGCTGCGATGAAAGCTCGCACCTGAAAGTGCATGTGTTGAGAGGCCTCAATTTCGATGCACCTTACCCAGCCTTCTTGTGAGATGTCACAGAGTCACAGACCGCACCAAGTATGCGGGAGCTTACTTTCAAGCAATCTCCGCTGTTGTCGCACTCCCAGAAGTCTAAACCCCTCAACCCTAAGCCTAAACCCTAAACCCTAAACCCCTAAGCCCTAAACCCTACACCGCCTAAACCCCCTGCTTCGCGGCTAGGACTCTGGACTTTCACTCTAAGACATTAACCACCCTTTAGCCGAATCGTGAGCTCGAAATCCTTTACTTTGCCTAAAACCCCCGAGCCCTAAGTCCGCTTAAACTTCTTAATGTGTATCCGTCCGAGCTCTCGTAATGGGCTTTCAGGGCCAGTCTTTGACGCTGGGTTGCTGTCCTGAGGTTTGCTGGGTTTGAGATTGTTAAGACCATATTAGAGCCCGGGGAGAAAGTATCCTTTCGTGTGGGCATAATATAGGCGCCTCAATGGTGCTTTGAGGTATACTGTACTGTAGTCATATAGCGGACTTTTTTTTTTGTGTGTGTGTGTGTGTGCTTCCTTTGTTCAGGCAGTTCCACGATCTCACGGGCCACGCCCCGATGCCTGGAATGTGGGCCTTGGGAAAGCATCAGTGCCGCTGGAACTACATGAGCGAGAAGGCGGGGCCTGACGTTCAGGGGTATGATGGGCTAAGGGTGTCCCTAAACCCTAAACCCTGGCCCTAAACCCTAAACCCTTAACCCTGACATTGTGGGGTGTGATGGGCTCAGGGTGTTTTGGGGGAGGGTTGCGCAAGTGCCAGCGTTGGCGCTGCTGTTTTTTATCTGTAGTACCGGTAGCAGCACGTAATATATAGGGGCCTGAATAAATAGAATAGCGTTTGGGGTATCTTACACAATAATCATTATAAGGCACCCCCGAAACCGTATTCCAATTGTTAAGGCCCCTACATTAGTCGTGACTATCATGACAGCTCTTTCACAGCGGTCTTGACTATGGTAAGGATGGCGATGTTGGTTTCTGTATGGTGATGTTGTTGTTGTTGAAGAAGAGTATGATGAGGGTAGGACTGGTACTGTGCTGACTGCGGATGATGTTATCCTTGTGCTGAGGGGATTGTGGCAATTTCTGATGTATGCATGGCTTATAAGATGCTGCTGATGATGGTACCGGTGATGTCGATGTTGACGGCAAATTTCGATGAAGGGCTTCAGCCTCAGCTGCAGGCTTTACTTGCTGTTTCTCGCGACATTGCTACGTCGCAAATATAGTTTCTTCTCACGTGCACCTGCATATGTACCCGCATGCCATACTTCCTTCGGGGTGACAGTCTCTCTGCAGTGGACTTTATTGACCAGCATGTCAGCCTAGCCTGTGAAGCAGGATGTGGCCACTGTTGACAGCATGTACGACAAGTACGACATCCCGTACGACACGATTTGGCCAGGGCCCTTCCCAATGCCTTGCCACGACGGTTGGTTGCTAAGGTAAGAACCCGGCAGCAATCTTCGAAGCCTTTTCGTCAGAATCGGACACTGACATAGCCCGCCCCTGAACCCTGATCGCTGACGACCCTGAACCCTATCTCAACCCCAAACGCGTGTAGAACAATAGCCGTTTCCAGGTGTTGGGCCATTTGTTACTCATTTTGGGAATGTTTAGGCAGAGCTTAAGCCCTGAAACTAGAGTCGTTGCCAGTGAGCCGTGCTGCAGGAACTTCTTAGGAGTGCAAGCCCTGATATGTGTTGGGATTTCAGGGTTTTTAGGTTTTAAGTTATGGGACTTTCTCATGCTAAACCCTTGCATACACCCTAAACCTTAAGCCCTAAACCCTAAACCCCAAACCCTAAACCCTAAACCTTTAACCCTAGACCCTAAACCCTAAACCCTACACCTTTTCCCTGCCGCTCTCAGGCTCGACATCGAGCATACCGATGGCAAGGCCTACTTCTCGCCGCCGCCTGAGCCGAGGGTCGGCCCAGTTCGGACTTAAAGTCCCCAAAGGGGCCTAGGGTTTAGGGTTTATGGTTTAGGGTTTAGGGTTTAGGGTTTAGGGTTTAGGGTCTAGGGTTTAGGGTTTAGGGTTTAGGCTTTAGGCTTTAGGCTCTAGGCTTTAGGCTTTAGGGTTTAGGGTTTAGGGTTTAGGGTCCTAGGTACTGTTAGGGGAGATACTGTCCGAAATCAAAATCAGAATTCCTAATATAGAACCCTACATTCTACTATATAGGGACTTTGGACAGTTTGTTGGTTAGCACCAGTAAGTTGAAACTTGTCTTTAGGATGATTAAATCAATGCGGAGGTTTCCTGTGCCTTATCTTACGTAACGGCATGAGGATAGTGATGTTCCAACTTTCTGGCTTCCACTAAAATAACCCTAGACCGTAAGCCCTCAACCCTCAACCCTAAACCCTAAACCCTAATACTTTAGGGCGTTTAGGGGGTGAGAGTTTCCAGGGGTGGATCACGGTTATCGAGCAGGTTGTCGATCTCAGGTGCTCGTTTGTTTGTGGCAGTTCTCTAAGTTATGGGTCCTTCGTAGAATGGTGCCGTCTTTCTTCTTCTGGGTTTCTATCAAAGGGGCCCCTGATTTGGAGAACTACCAACGTGCCTTGAGTTCACGATTTCGGATCCCGATGCAGCTGCTCGCGGCTAGACCCTAAGCCCAAAACTCTAAACCCTAAACCCTGTAAACCCTATAAACCCTAAACCCTAAATCCTAAAGCCTATAAACCCCAAAACGAAAACCGTCGTAGGGGCGCTGAGTTTCATGAAGCTTACAAGGCTCACGGGGCTCAGGGTTTTGGGGCTTCGGCTCCAGGTTTTTGCGGCTTTTCGGGTTCAGGAAGGGTTTCGGGTTTAGGGCAAAGTTTAGGGTTTAGCGCAGTTTAGGGTTTAGGGCAAAGTTTAGGGTTTAGGGCAAAGTGTAGGGTTTATGGCAGTTTAGGGCTTAGGGCAAAGTTTAGGGTTTAGAGCAAAGTTTAGGGTTTAGGGCAAAGTTTAGGGTTTAGTGTTCAGGGTGTCGGTTTATTTGGGTTTTAGGGTTTAGTCTTTGACAAGTTCGTAGGGTTTGACGCTGGGCTTCAGGATCCGTGCTGGATTCAATGGTTTCATGCGGGCAGTTCTCTAAATTACTGGCCGTCCCTGGATCCCAAATATCGTACGGTACCCTTATAAAAGCTTATAAAAGGACCCTAGTTGAAAGGGATCCTAGTTTGGAGAACTACCCATATGGTAGTTTTGCGATTACGAACTCAGTGTTCCTGTCAGGATCACGTACCGCATCTTCTACTAAACCCTATAAACCCTAAACCCTAAACCCTAAACCCTAAACCCTAAACCCTAAACCCTAAACCTAAACCCTAAACCCTAAATTAGTAGGAGTTGTTTGCCACAAAACGAACCGCTGAAAGAGACCTGTTCAGACGACCACTAGGAGCAGGAGGAGCTTGCACACAAAGCCCTATACGACCCTAAACACTACCTGGACCCTAAAGCACCTACCTTTTAGGGCTCCTTATTAAGATTTCTTTATATAAGTCCTGAAAAAGGCGGGTTTTTTGGGGGGTTAGAGTAGATCCTGAACAGTCTGTAACCCTGAACTCTAGACCCGATGACCCGGAAGTTGGCCTCCCGTCTCCCAACCGGAGCTTTGCTGATATTTTGGTATATGCTTGGGAGCCCGTGGGTGTGCCGGAGGGGTCTACAGAATTTGCAACAAGATCCCTTTCCTGCCCCTGCATCCGTTCAGTAGCTGAGGCCCCTGAAGCACCTTAGAATCTTAGAACTTTTACAGGAACCCCACTTTCATCTACCCACTATGTACCCATAGGCCCTAAAGTAATTCCTTTTTGGGGTTCATATTTAGAATCCTAATAGGGAAACCCAAAAAAGGAACTACTTTAGGGCCTGTGGGTAAGCCCTTAAATCACCCGTGGGGCCCTCAACTCGAGGTGGAACGCGGCCGCGTTCCCAAATCCCAAGCAGATGGCCGGGACCTGAGCAAGAAGAAACGGGAATTTTTCGGCTAATGTAGGGGCCTCAATAAGTTGAATAGGGTTTTGGGGGTATATGAGAATTTAGTTATATAATAAGGGACACCCGAAATAGTGTAGGTAGTTATTAAGGCCCTTATATTATAGCCTTTAAAGTCGGGCTTACAGGTTAGGCTGGAGCTGGAGGTTTAGGGGTTCGCAGGTTTAGGGTTAGTTTTTTCTTTTGGGGAGTTTCCAGGGTTTAGGGTTTAGGGTTTAGGGTCTAGGGTTTAGTTTTTTTGCGGGTTTCCAGGGTTTAGGGTTTAGGGTTTAGGAATTTGGGTCTAGGGTTTATGTTTTTGGGGGTTTCCAGGGTTTAGTAATCAATGGGTTTAGGGTCAAGGCTTTAAGTTTTACAAGTAGGGATCTCCGGTTCAGGGTTCTGGCAAGCACAAGGTACTGAAAGCAACAGCCGTAGTGGGATTCCGTGTGCATGTTTGTTTATACACATTTTAGATCAACCGAGACAGTATTTAGATGCGACCCTATGGCCTATGGGCTGTGGACCTTCAGCTAAAAACAAATCTAGCCTCTGAACACTAGAGCGTTAAGCCTCAAACTCTGCGGGCGAAAACCCCTAATGGAGGGGTTCGAATAGTTGGAGATACTATTTTGCGGCTCCTTACTTTAGTTATATCATATAATGTATGCCCGAAGCCGTATTCTAATCCCCAGGCCTGAAGCCGTAGACATAAATCACCAAGATTGACAACATCTCGGCGAAGCGACGGAAGTTTGTGAATGTGGTGGACCCGCACATCAAGAAGGAGAGTCTGGGTTTGGGAGGTTTGGTAGTTCGGGCTTTGGGGTGGGTTCGGGGTTCACGGTTGGAGGTTTCGTGCGTCACGGTCAAGATCTTGAGAACTGTGAGGGGTGACACTGATGATTCAGAAAGAAGGTGTTGGGAACATCGCATTGGTAGAGGTAGCGTCTGAGTCGAGGTGTCTTGCGATGTCGCGTCTCAGGCTTCGGGAGAGGTTGAGTTATTGTCATTACCAATAGGCCCTAAAGTAGTTCCGTTTTGGGGTTCATATGTAGAATCCTAATAGGGACTCCCAAAAAGGAACTACTTTAGGGCCTATGGGTATCTCAGAAATCCTTCTTCGACCCTTCGACCAGAAATAAGTATCCTCTTTCAAGGCTTACTGCTTGCATCCCGAGTACAGCACGAGCAGCACATTATGCACGCAGGAGGAGAAGTTCCACGTCTATCGGGAGGCCAGAGGGAGACTCAAATTCTGCTTACCCCTCTGTCTGTTTGGTACGGTTGATGATATAAAAATCCTGCATTACCCATAACAGGGAATATACTTGAATATACCATAACTCCTGTAGTTCAGGGTCCTCAAGGTAATGCAGGATTTATATCATCAACAGCATCACTGCTTCTAGCTTCAGCGTTTAGCCGGATCGAAGATTTTGGGTAATGTAGGGGCCAGAATACTTCGAATAGGGTCTTCGGGGTGTTCCTGATTGTAATTATAGCACAATATATGCCCCAAAACCCTATTCTAATTATTAGTTAAGGCCCCTATGTGAAAGGGTCTTGGGGGGGGTTCCTTATTATAGTACAATATTATTCAAAATCCTACTCTAGTTATTATTAGTTCAGGCCCCTATATGAAACTTGGCCTTCAACCCGAGGCTTCCACTCCGAAACCCAGACATATAGATCCCTTTAAAGGAACCCCTATAGATCCTTTAAAGGGAACCCTTATAGACCCCTTTAAAGGGACCCCTATAGACCCCTTTAAAGGGACCCCTATAGATCCCCTTAAACGGACCCCTATAGATCCCTTTAAAGGGACCCTTATAGATCCCTCTACAGGGACCCCTATAGATCCCCTTAAAGGGACCCCTATAGACACCTTTAAATTTTAAAGGGGACCCTGCCTTTCTGAAAGGTCCGCGACAAAGGCCTCTTTGTCAAGAAAGTCACCTACAAGCAGATGGACGATCCCACCGACGTCGGGGGCCCCAAGAGTGCTGAAGGGTTGAAGGGTACTTAGGGGCTCTGTGGACTGACTTGTGGTTTTGGGTCGTGGGTTGTTTCGGTCGAAAGGGTTCCGGCATGTCGGGGATACATTTATTTAAGGTTAGAGCTTCTGTTGTTCACGGCTGTGTTCCGAAGTGTTCAAAGCGGGTAGGTCAGTGCCGATAATGTAACAGAACGGAGTAGAGTCGAGTATCGCGACACCTTCGTGAGGTCAAGCCCGGTGACTGGATCGAGGAGGCTAAGATTGCCGATCCTAGTGCTTCTCAGCCACCTGCCGCTTGGTCGTGATAGCTTGAGTTTCAGTAGAGAAGTTAACCTTTCACGCTCATGATCCGACGTGCCTTAACCTTCTTCGGGCTAACATAGCCCAAAGGTTATCCTTCAGTTCCCCTAGGATGCTGGACAACTAAGCGCAGAGCTCTGGGCTTCTGGTCAGTAGTTTTAGCACCGATGACCGTGATAGTGGATGATGGATAAGACTTCAGAGCTCTTACGATTTTATTGCGCACCTATGATTGTGTTGTTGTTGCTCTTCTTCTTGTTGTTGTTACTACATCTTTTGGTCTTACTACTACTGTATTGCTGCCTGTACCAGAACCCTAGACTCGTAATACGACCCAAACTGCCCGGCATGAATGTCCGAAAACTCTGACAACAGCCTGTTAAACCTTGAAGTCATCTGAGCGTAATATCGAATACTAGTACTATTGCTCAGGCCTCCTTCTTGCAAATTTCAAAACCCTAAACCCTAAACCCTCAACCTCAAAACAAGAAAGCAAACAAGGAGTGGAATGCGGAGGAGGACGGAGCTTGGGTGGCTCCGCAGATAGACAATCCGGCCTACAAGGGAGAGTGGCACCGGCGCTGCTTCGATTCGCCCTTTATTTATATGGTTTATATCATATAAGGACCTAAAAAATTGTGAGGGCGTTTGAATATAGCTTGATTGCTGTAAACCCTTACCTGTTCTAAGTTCTACTTGTTACAGTACGACCACTGTATTACGATGTTGTTGCGATGTCGGGGCGGTGTGGTGATTCTCGATGTTGGGTTGTTGCTGGTTGCGTCGTTGACAGTTTGGGTTTTAAGGCAATTTCAGGATTCAGGATCATCGGGTCGTGCAGGAGGCCCAAAGCCCTAACCCTCGAAAATCGCGAACTCCTAGACCCTCACGCTCGTAAGCCTAGGGTTGAAACCTAAGCCCTTTGAACCTTGAACCCCTAAACCCTAAGCCCTAAATCCTTAAATTTACTAAACCCTAAACCCTAAACCCCTAAACCACTAAACCCCTAACCCCCTACCCCCTAAACCCCTAAACCCCCTAAACCCCAAAACCCTAAACCCTAAACCCTAAACCCCTAAACCCAAAACCCTAAACCCAAAAACCCAAAATCCCTAAACCCCAAACCCTAAACCCTAAACCCTAAACCCTAAACCCTAAACCCTAAAACCCTAAACCCCTAAATCCCTGAACCTTCTAACCGTTAGCCTAACAGCCAGGTGGAAGCCGAGGAAGGTGAACGATCCGAACCCCGAGCTCTCCGACTTCGAGGGGCCCGGAGGGCCTTGCATCCGTCTGTAGGGTTTAGGGTTTAGGGTTTAGGGTTTATAGGGTTTAGGGTTTATAGGGCTTATAGGGTTTAGGGTTTACGATTTGGGGTTTAGGGTTTAGGGGTTTAGGGTTTAGGGTTTAGGGTTTAGGGTTTACAGGGTTTAGGGCTTATGGGGCTTATGGTTTAGGGTTTGGGGTTTAGGGTTTAGGGTTTACAGGGTTTAGGGCTTATGGGGCTTATGGTTTAGGGTTTAGGGTTAGGGTTTAGGGCTTATGGTGTAGGATTTATAGGGTTTAGGGTTTAGGGCTTATAGGGTTTGTGGTTTAGAGTTTTGGGTTTAGGGTTTAGGGCTTGTAGGGCTTATTAATAGGGTTTTGGTTGAGAGTTTTGGGTTTAGGGTTTATAGGGTTTATGGTTTAGAGTCTTGGGTTTAGGTTTTAGGTCTTAGGGTTAGAGTCTATACCGGCTTAGGCCGCTTAAGGCTTGGGGTTTAAAGTTTACAACTTAAGCTTCGGGTTTACGAGGTGTAATTAGGCGGCTTAAAGGTTTTCAAGGTTTACGGTCCTACGTCGGCGGAGTTTGGCTGGGGGATACAGGCTGTCGAAGCGTGTTGGTTTCTATCTAGGCTGCTAGGTGGAGCACGTTGGAAATGCCAGGGTGTAGGGTTTAGGGTTTAGGGTTTAGGGTAAGCTTGCTTGAAGGTGGTGCTGGCCTGGAACATCGTTGTACCCAGACTTCGCCGTGGCTCCACTGCAAAGGTGTGCACTCATTAAGGGCAGGGGTCAGGTTCTTTGGGATTCTGGATCAAAGTCTGGTAGTAATGTAGTTCATCACCGAATTTTGGCCCGTGCTGTAGAGTTTAAAGCTGTGTACCATGGAAGCCCGAACAGTTGTTAAAACTAATCCCCATTCTAACTACTAAGGCTCCCATAGAGAGTGTAAACTTCTCAGTTTTCACGTTTAAGGTGCCTTCATAATTTGAATAAGGTCTGGATTTAGGGTTTAGGGTTTGGCGGTCCGTACATTGCACCATAAATATGATAAAGAGCCACAAGGAGCAATGTTGGTAATTACTCCGACCCCCGACATTCGGCTGTGGAGTGGAGTGGAAGGTCGACTTGCGTTTTCGGGCTCAGGGTTTGCAGGGCTAAGTGAGACGAATGGGTCTCGTGGCAGCTAGAATAAGTTCCTTAAGGTTTTTAAAATTCTAATCGTAGGAACTGCGCCCTTAAGCCCGGTTCTATTTCAAGATTGATGTTGGCCCCGGTTCTAATCAAAGATTGGTTTAGGTCTCTATATTATTCCCGTGGATGTTGGTGCTCTTCAGTCTGAGTTTCTCTTCCCGGGTTCTTCTTCCTTCCAAACTTTGGCCCAGCTGCCAAGTGAGAAACCCTCAGCCCCAACCGCTGTAATGTGGCACCTTTGATAGACCGACACCTTGTAGCTCTTATAACCCTAAAACCCCACACCCAAAACCCCCGAGACGAACTTTCCCGGGAGGGTCTCCAGCTGCGTTTTAGGCCAACTATAGTGTAATATCATCTCATGCAAAATCGCAAATTCTACCCTCAACCCTAAAACGCCTAAACCCCAAATCCTAAACCCTAAACCACTTCACCGTAAAACCCTATATGGGGGTTTCCGAAAATAGGGCACCCTAATATAGCACCCTAAATAGTAGGATCCTTATTATAAGGACCCCAAAATAAGGTACCCCCTATTTTCGGAAACTCCCATATTGCATAATAGACCCTAAACCCTAAACCCTAAACCCTAATAGAGCACTTGAGGATCCTGCGATGCGCGAGTACTGGGGCTCCCAATTCGCACTGGACAAGTACGCGGGCACCAACGGCGACACCTACATCTGGCTGCTCGGCTCTATCCCCCCTTTTTAGGGTTTAGGGTTTAGGGGTTTAGGGGTTGAGGGTTAAAGTTTTAGGGTTTAGGGCAATTAGGGGTTTAGGGGTTGAGGGTTTAGGCGTTTTAGGGTTTAGGGCGTTTAGGGGTTTAGGGTTTAGGGATTATCCAAAGTGCCCGGAATTGCGTAGCAGCGTAGCACTGGTAGTGGGAATTCTGTGGTTCTCATCCCACAACCAGGATCAGGCTTGAGGCTGTCTGTCGATATATGCCCGAGACTAAACCGGTACATTTCTTCACCTGAGGCACTAATATAAAGGCCAAGACAGTAACCTATACTATTTTGGGGGCTTCTGTATTATAAATATAGTATAAAGGCCCCCCAAAACCCTATTCCAATTATTAAGGCCCCAATTATTAAGGCCCCTACATGAAACCCGAACTTCGTTGAGCAGTTCCTCCCAGGAATGACATGAACGAGCCGTCGGTTTTCAACGGTCCGGAGGCCACTGGCAGTGTTGAGACAGAGGTGTGGTATCCCGATCGAAAGTTCGGTAGGCCATCAGTTGAGGGTTTAGTCAAAGGAAACTACAGGTGGGGAGTTTAGGGTATATAGGGCTTCTATAAGGCTCCCATAAGGGTAAATACCCACCTGAAAATGTCCTAGGTTTAGGGATGTTTCGGATTTAGGGTTTCGGGGCAGCCCTTCTTTGAAGTCTGAGTGGTTTCGTCCCAGGGCAAACTCACGGAACCTTACCTAGTATACAGTAGTGTACGAATTATGTTTATATATATATATACACACTGTTGCCACGGCTCTCCACGCGGCTCAAGCCTGACATCGTGAAGCTCCCAGAGCTGTCCTCCCAGTAGGACCTACCTATACTACAGGGTCGAATTGCCCTTTCAAACTTCTGGGGCACCACATTTGAAGCTACCGCCCCTATTATAGAAGCCACATAAGTACCAACAGCATTCCTCATGGGGTTCCTCAAAATAACAAGACCCCACAAAAAGGAGCCCAAAACCCTATTTTAAGTATTACGGCCCCTACATTATATGGGCTTTGTGCCATACGCCGTGTTTCGGGTTCATGTGGGCGTTCGGTCCGTGCCAGTTTGTCGCAACTTTGATGTACAGGGAGCACGACAAGCCAGCTTATGTATACACGTGAACATCGTGATGATGAAGTCACGAACTGCTCCCGTAATGACGGAAGCAGGACGTGAGTTCGAATATGAAGATATGAGAAGAAACTGGTGATGACGTTGGTGCAGACGGTTACGTCCATGAGACCAGGCTTCTGCTTGTGATATCATGTGCCTCGTACATAGCTTCATATTCGGCAGAATCCCAATCCCAAATAAATGCCAGTTTCCCGACATCCTAACAAATTGAAGCCTTTCAGGTCACGATGCCTCGAGATGCTGTTCATCCGCACGGAATGGTCGAACACCGTGATTTGCACAACATGCGTGGCCCCCAGCCCTGGGCTGGGTTGATTTAGGGTGTACTTTAAGGCCCCTTTCTGAGGTTCAATGTTGAGTCGTACAGGGCATCAGTGTTGTATCGGCTAGAAGGTCTCATGCCGTCAGACCCCGGCAAGCGTGGTCCTTCAAACTCAGGAAATCAGGTTTTGGGTCTCAAAGATCTCTGCCTAACAGAGGCCGTGGCCATGATCCCGACCTCCAGGGCAGCACAGGGAGGTCCTAAGATAGGGACTTAAATAATTACCTATACGATTTTGGGGGTTCCTTATTCTAATTATAGTATAATGGGCCCCAAAACCCTATTCTAATTATTAAGGCCCCTATATTAATTCCTACAAAGACACTCGCAAGGCCCTGCGACCTTTCGAACCTGCGGACCACAAAACTGTCATTCTGTACCGCTACGCTAAAATAGAAGCCTAAAGAATTACTCCTTAGGGTTCCTGATTATAACTATATACTGTAAAGGAGCCCAAAATCCTATTCTAATTGTTAAGGCCCCTGCATTACTCATTCTACATTCAGAGTTTCAGTCCTTTACCAAAAACGGCAGAGAAGCAGCACTTTAACAATTGGGCTCTTTAAATCGTGACATGCAAACCCAGAGCCCTGTTCCAATTACTATGGCCTCTATATTTAGCGCAAAGCTTCGCACACATAGGGTTTTAAGTACTTGTAAGGGTCTTGAGTCTATGCACTGAGACGCTCAACCATTGCAAACCCTAGACACTGAGATCCAAACCCTACACTGTAGATTTTTTGATTATTAAGGCCCCTACATTAGCCCGTAAAGCTTATAAACCCAAAACCCTTAAACCTAAA